GAAAGGGAAAACATCATATTTTTAACCTAGCATGCACAGACATATACACATACAAATATTACTGCATTAAAGCAACAATGGTATGGATGAGAGATGTTTCTGGTTCTGTTCATCGACTGTTGATTGGATGGAAGCAGATCTCAATAAACATTTGTAGTCAAGTGGAGAAGTCTGATATACTTCAACAGGTTACCAGAGAGAAGTCTGTTATTTCATCATAGTAAAGACATTTTGACTAAAAATTATAAATGGATGAATTGTTCACAATAAGATTAATAATATACAAAAAAGTTAAAGGGGTCATATGAGGAAGACCAAACAAAGTAGTTTCGCTTTCACAACGAAAAACACCGGCCTAGCGTGAGTGGAAGCTGCGGCTTAGCGTGAGCTGAGGCCGGGCTAGAGTGAGCAGAGGCGGCGAGGTCGAGAACGGCGCACCCAGCGGATTCGACGAAGGAGCGGCAACCACATGTGACGACCCCGGGCTGGACTCCGCTTCGTCCACGGTGAAAGCCGATCCGGCAATCCACAGCACTAAGTTAATGTATTTCCTCAGCGACCAGCACAGATCAGCTCTAGGCATGACGAAGCGGATATCGTCCTCTTTTGGAAGGCCAAACAAAGTAGTTTCGCTTTCACAACGAAGCACACAGCGTCTTCACAACATGGCGGCAGCGGCAACAATACTACAGTGAGAATAAAAGTTACACCTTCTTTCTTTGTGTGAACATTTGGGCGGTGTTATGCAAATCTTCCCACATAGTGAGGTAGATATGTGGGGGCGTGTTAGAAAGAGACGTTTTAGGTAGGTGTGGCTGACTCTTAACTTTTATAAAGAATATCTCTTTGGATTTGAGACTTTAGTCTTTGCAACTTTACAGATCTTCTTTATGCACCAAGAGCTTGTAACACTCCAAAGAGAAAGGAAAAATTGAAATCGCATCATATGACCCCTTTAAGGTGAATTTCAATTTCATGCTGACCTCAAGCAAGAGATAGGTTGAAAACTACTGGCTCGAGAGTGCTTGTGCCAACAGATGTAGACTAAATAAAAACAAACAACTAATATGCCTCCTCTGATAACTGAGTACAAACACTGAAGAACGTCACAGATTCCCACTGGAGTACCACTTCAGATAACGCTGGAAGTAAATTTATCCTCTCATATTTAAAGTGACATTCTATAGCAGGCGGCCAATTGGCAGCCCGCGGGCCCAATCCGGCCAGCCAAATCATCTTCATCCGGCCCGAGGGAAGAGTACGCGCACATGCACCTTGAATTTATTTTGCACTAATTAGTTTGTCCACAGGGTGGCAACACTGGTCCGGGCCGTTGTTTCACACAGCCAAAAAAGAAAAGGAAAAGACACAAAAACAACAATCTACCGGAGACCGCAACATCAATAGACGGCAGTGTTGACAAGCGCTTGTGTGAAGGGGTTATGAGATATCCACAACTCTAGTTTAAACTAGGGATGCACGATATTGGATTTTTGCCGATATGCCGATATTTTTCAACTTATTTTGGCCGATAGCCGATGCCGATACTGATATATTTCCTTTTGTCTGAAAACAACACCAAATCTCTCCTGTGATTATAAACAAATTATTTTAAATTTTGGTTAGTTTTTATCAAAAACGTACCTTTTAGAATTAAATAAACAATAATAAAGTTGTTTTATAATAAGGGTACATTGAAAGCTTTGAAAATAACTATAAACCAATCAATTTTTTTTCAGACAGATACAGTGGTAACCTTAAAAGTTTATTTGAAGATTTAACATTTATAGATGGTCTAAAGCAAGAGTTGTACAAATTCTGAAAATATTTTAGAGCTCCGTGTATTTAAGTTTTCATAATCCATTTGAAAATACATTATACATTACACATTAATAAATAAATCTGTATATAAAATTATTTAAAGGTCCAATATTGTACACCTTTCTGGAGTTTTATTTGAGGTTTTGATGTCCTTAAGAATATATATAATCATTTGTAATTGTATATACATTGTTGTGATTAATTGTGGCTGGAACAATAGTGTATCTGTAAAAATAGTTGCCTGCTGAAATTAAAATATATATACATCTTCATCATGACTAGATAGACACGGTGAGTTTGTCTTTACTATACATGTTAGATGTGACCCACCTCATAGTAACAATCCTGTCAGATCGTCCATCCTTTGAGTGAGAGTGTAACGTTACAGGTCGGCCGATCTGGTTTCGTGGTTAAAGTTAACCTTTTCGACATGTTTCCGTGT